ACGGTATATAGAAAAAAAAGAAGAAGAAGAGGTCATAATTTGGCTAACAAGCTTTTGTAAATGGTTGGCAGAACAGGGATTAGGAGAGATAGCAAAAAGACAAAATTTCCTAAGAGCTACAAAGGATGGGAAATTGTGAAGAACCATGATTTCTGATGAAATGAATGGACCCACGGTATATAGAAAAAGAAGAAGAAGTGCTCATAATCTGGCTAACAAACTTTTGTAAATGGTTGGCAGAACAGGGATTAGGAGAGATAGCAAAAAGACAAAATTTACTAAGAGCTACAAAGGATGGGAAATTGTGAAGAACCATGATTGCTGATGAAATGAATGGAGCCACGGTATATAGAAAAAGAAGAAGAAGAGCTCATAATCTGGCTAACAAGCTTTTGTAAATGGTTGGCAGAACAGGGATTAGGAGAGATAGCAAAAAGACAAAATTTACTAAGAGCTACAAAGGATGGGAAATTGTGAAGAACCATGATTGCAGATGAAATGAATGGACCCACGGTATATAGAAAAAGAAGAAGAAGTGCTCATAATCTGGCTAACAAGCTTTTGTAAATGGTTGGCAGAACAGGGATTAGGAGAGATAGCAAAAAGACAAAATTTACTAAGAGCTACAAAGGATGGGAAATTGTGAAGAACCATGATCGCTGATGAAATGAATGGACCCACGGTATATAGAAAAAGAAGAAGAAGAGCTCATAATCTGGTTAACAAGCTTTTGTAAATGGTTGGCAGAACAGCGATTAGGAGAGATAGCAAAAAGACAAAATTTACTAAAAGCTACAAAAAAAGCGACAAAAGACAGAAAATTGTGGAGAGCCATGATCGTCAACGTACTGAAGGGACATAGCACATTGAAGATGAGGAATATACTTCTGAAAGAAGAACCTATTTAAAGGCTCAGTTGTTTATAAAACCTCTTACTGAATAGTAAATAAATGGTTTGTACAAAGTTGATAAATTTTGTGATTTCCTGATTACAAGGAAGGTGCTTATTTTGGATTTTACAAGGTAAAAATAAAAAAAATTTCAAATGGGATAAGTATTTAGTATCTAAGTTAGCAATAAATGTATAATTATTATTATTATTGAATTTGAATGATCTTTTCCTTATTTTCAGGTAATATATAGAGAAAAGAAACTGATTAAAAAAAAACTATCCTAAAAATGTACTTTAAAAGAATGGCAAGAATGCAACAAAAAGAATGATCATTATTCAACAAGAATTTATTTCTCCCGAATCTTGAAATAATTTCGATTATTACTACGACATGATGAGGTGTTTGAAAAAAAACATGTAAAGGGAAAAATAGCGGACCTTTGTCCGAACTAGATATTGCATCATAACAATAAACAAACTAATACTACCATCAAGACAAGAGTTTCAACAAATAACAGTCATCCAGCACCTAGGTAGTGAACTGAATCAACAGTCCTGTAACTGCTGCATTCCTCAATTAAAAATGTAACTAAAGAGGCATTGTTTTTAGAATGTAGATTAAATTTAAACTAAATTCCTGACACTATTAGATCGTTTTCAGAAAAAAGGCGCTTCTTTGGTGCTCTTGAAATTATGAAAGTGACACTGTGCAAGAATTGCCAAGACGACTATATCAGAATGGATGCTAGCCAAATTTAAATGAAATATTAAATCTAATCCTAGGTGGGGTCAGAAAGTTCCCAGAAGGAGCCTATGCATGTACACTATTACTATCCCAATAAATATTAAGTTGAATTATAAGTAATTTATATTTTGGGAACCAATTGTAAGGATGAATCTATTGTCTTAAGTACTAACCATAAATGGCAGTTAAGAATAAATTTTTAGTTCGCAAACATAATTTAGTTTTTGCACAAAAGTGGCAGCATACACAGTGGATTAAAGGAAAAATATTGCTCTCCTCCATGACAATGCAAAACTGCATTGCACTAAGAATAACAAAGGAGAATAGTTTGGAATTTGGTTGGTTTGTTCTACTCCAGCCACCATATTGACATGGCCTTGTACCAATCAATTTTTCCTTTTTCAGTCACAGCAAAATGCTTTGATAAGGAAGACTTTCTCTAATCAAAAACAGATTCTATAGTTTGTCAAAAGCTTTTTCACATTCAAAACTTTACTTAAAAGGTATTGAAAAGCTGACTGATAAGTGATAACAAATCATTGTAAATTATGGTGACTATATAAGTTAATAAAATGCAAATTTATTATTTGAAGACTAAAGTTAATAAACCAAAATGGAAAACAGTTATGACTCAACCTAATAATACATTTGTTATACTATTTAAATTTAGCAATTCCTCTTCCCTTCAAAATAGTTCTCTTGGGAAGCAATGCTCCACAGAAGTTTGCTAAAAGGTTATCATGTTGAATAGGCACTCTACTGGCTTTAAAATGCACATTCCACTTAAAAAAAACTTGTTTTCAACCAAAAAAATATTTACCAAAACCTGCTGAAGAGTTTCAGGGGTCTTGATAGGAGATTTATTAAACTTTATTCAAAGCTTTTTGCAAGCATGTGGCTTGAATTTTTTTAACCATTTCAAATATTCTAGGGTGATTGCAACACTAACTAAACTGACAGTAATTGAATTCTTTCAGAAGAGCTCAATTTGTCATGTATTCTTTTGTTGAACAGTAGAGCTACCTTACATACAGACTGCAAATTTTTTGATTCCATCCTTTATTGAAAAGAAAATTTTCAAAAAGGTGGAACATAACTTCAAAATCCATGCAGATTCTCTTGTCATGAATAAAAAACAAAACAAATGAAATCACCTAAATAGTAAACATAAAAATATTCAATGAGTCAATTATTCTTTTTTTGTTCATAAATCAAATATTTATTTTTCACAAGGACATTATTTACAGCCTCTTTATTAAATATTGAAAAATTCAAAAACCTAAAAAGATTGGGTGAAATCTAATGAAAGATTTACATATTTATTACCACGGTGTCATGTTTTAATGTCCAAGAATTAACATAATGAAAAATAACTAAAATGGCCTCTTTCATATTCTACCTTTGCAGAAAAAGAAGAATGTTATTTCTCATAATAATAATAATAATAATAATAATAACAATAATAAAAGACCACAAACAAAAACGGTGCCTCCTTATTGATATGGCAGTCCCTGCTGACTGCAATGTATCTTTGAAGATATTCAAAAAGCTGTCAAAATAAAAGGACCTTGAAATAGAAATCTCAAAAATGTGGCATATGGGAACATCAACAACCCCTGTTGTAGTTGGAGCAATAGAATTGGTTGGAAAAGATTGCAGTAGACTAATTGAAGGGATTCCTGGAAGTCCATGCCTCAAGGAGATACAAAAATTTTTTCTGACGAGTACAGCCCACACTTTACGAAGGGCTTTATCTATGTAATTTTTTTTTTTTTTGTCAGTGGAAAATGTCATGATGCCATTTCTAACATTAGGTCTCTGGGCGAGACCCGGAAAGAAATGTGTAAACGCCAGAAATCAAAGAAAATAATAATAACAATAATAATAATATTATAATGTACCTTTGAAGATCTTCGAAAAACTATCAAAATTCAAAGATCTTGAAGTAGAAATCTCAAAATTGTGGCAATAATTCTAGTTGTAGTTGGAGCCCTCAGACAGATTGGAAATGGTTTTGATAGATTCATTAAAGGGATTCCTGGTAGCCCTTGCTTTAAAGAAATACAAAAAATTGTACTCACAACTGCAGCTTATGCATTACAAAGAGCTTTATCTATGTACAATGTGTGTGATCTTAGGTTTTTTTTTGTTTTTTTTTTTTACAAAAATGATCAGTGGAAAATATCATGAAGCCATTTCTGATCTTAGGTCTCTGGTTGGTACCCAGAAGGAAATGTGCATACAACAGAAAACCAAGGAAATAATAACAATAATAATAATAATAAACCCTAAAAACTACTGACCTATCACTTGTTAGTCAATATCTTACAAATTGTTAATCTGCATATTAACCAAAAGAACATACAACAATCTGGAAGAACATAGTAATAATAATAATAATAATAATAATAATAATAATAATAATAATAACTATCAAAATACAAGATTCTTGAAGTGAAAATCTCAAAATGTGGCGCATCAATAATTCCTGTTGTGACTGGGGCTTTGAGTTTGATTGATGCTTTCATGAAATACAAAAATACTGTTCTCATAAGCACACCTCTCACTTTACATAGGGCTTTATCTATATAAAATGCTTGTAATGTTGAGGCTGTTTTGTTTTTATTTCAACAACTGTGGAAAATATCATGATGGCCTTTATGATCTTAGGTCTCTGGTTGGGCACCCCTACCCTGAGAAAACTCTGGTTGGGATGCAGACGTAAATGAGTGGACAGAAACCAAATAATTAAAAAAAAAGGTTTCAATAGAGACAATAAAGCTCATGCCTTGACAAAATACAAAAAAAACTGTGTGTATAATATTCATGGCATCTCCCACAAATGGGAAGACGTGGATCTTCTAAGAGAGCTTAAATTGTATTCACTGAAATGAAGAAATGAAAAAGGGAACGAGGCAAGAAGTCACCCAGTATTTATAATATAGGGTGTGTGACCCCTAGTGACAATTTGGGAATTAAGGAGGAACTAATTCCAACAATATTGTATCATTTCATTCACTTTTCATACTGTCTCATTGCTTAAGAGTCTTTTGACTGGATTCAGACTAATAGATAGACAAGGAAGTTACCTGCCCAAGTTGTTCACCATTCCCAAGTATCATCTGAGTTTGGCAGCATCAGATGTTCAGTTACATGCTTTGATTTTGGTCTGATCTGGGTGGCAGCCATGTGAGTTAATGACATATCCAAGAAAGGTGATTTTGGAACTTCCAGTACTCACACTTGACCTTGTTCAGTTTGAGGCCTGCTTCTTTTAGTCACTGATGATTCAGGAGTTTTTTGTATTTGTTTGCTGTCTTGGTGTGGAACAGAATATCATCAAAGTAACAAACAATCCCACCTCTATTCTTGGAGACAGTTCTTTTGAAAATCACTGATGCTGAACTGATTCTTATAGCAAGAAAGAAAGAAAGAAAGATAGATAGATAGATAGATAGATAGATAGATAGATAGATAGATAGATAGATAGAAAGAAAGAATAAAGAAAAACAGAAAGTAAGATAGAAAGAAAGATAGTAAGAAAGAAAGATAGTAAGAAAGAAAGACAGAATGATAGAAAGATAGGAAGAAAGAAAGAAAGAAAAAAGAAAGAAAGAAAGAAGAAATATAGATAGTAAGATAGAAAAAAAGAAAAACAGAAAGAAAGATAGAAAGAAAGTAAGAAAGAAAGAGAAAGATAGAAAGAAAGAAAAAACGATAGAAAGAAAGTAAAAGAGAAAGTAAGAAAAAAGAGAGATAGAAAATAAGAAAGTTAGAAAGAAAGAATGATATTGAGAAAGGAAGAAAGATACTAACAAAGAAAGATATTAAGTAAGAAAGATAACAAAAGACAAAAGAAATACTAAGAAAAAATAAGAAGAATAAAAAGAAAAAATAAAGTAAGAAAGACAATAAGAAAAAAACAAGAAAAAAAATGAAAGAAAGATAGTAAGAAAGAAAGAAAGAAATATAGTACAAAAGAAAGAAAGATAGTAAGAAAGAAAGTAAGAAAGAATGAAAAAAGAAAGATAGAAAGAAAGAAATATAGTACAAAAGAAATAGAGAAAGTAAGAATGAAAGTAAGAAAGAATGAAAAAGAAAGATAGTAAGAAAGAAAGAAAGAAATATAGTACAAAAGAAAGAAAGTAAGAAAGAAAGAAAAAGAAAGATAGAAAGAAAGATAGTAAGACAGAAAGAAAGAAAGAAAAAGAAAGAATGATATTGAGAAAGGAAAACAGATACTAACAAAGATATTAAGTAAGAAAGATACTAAAAAACAAAAGAAATACTAAGAAAAAATAAGAATAAAAAATAAAAAATAAAGAAAGACAATAAGAAAGAAACAAGAAATAAATCTAAAGATGAGGAATGTGAAATCTATTCAGTATTTGCAATTGAATGTTTGAAAGGTGTTAAATTTTAATTCATATTGATATCAAAAGAAAACAGAAATGGCTCCTCTTCAACTTCGTAAATTCTCTGCTTAGCTGATCCCATTATTTTTTTGTTCTTATTTCATTCATTTTGCTTTTGCATCAATATGAAACATTTGCAAATAATTGAAAAAATTCAAGGCAAACTGATATTCATCGTTCATCTCAATGAGTCACGTGACCATAATCTTTGTAATTTATTCATAAGTTGGAATTGTCTCGAGAATTTCAAGGATAAACGAGTCAAAACATTTTCATGTCACCAGGAAAATGTTGCCTTCTCATTGACATGCAATGATTTCTGAACGGACTTTAAAAAATAGATCTCTTCCTTTGATTGGTTAGTCGCTAAAAGGATGCAATATTATCAGGAACAAGAACCATTCTCTCTTGCCAAATGGTATCATTAAAAGTATCTGAAAATACATGAAAGAAATTTATAGAATACTGTCAAGAGGCAAGATGAAATTCAAAGATTAAACATACACTTTTGTGACAGTAATTGTGAGTTCAATTCCTGGGCCAGGCAATACAGACTCAGTAGAAACAAAGTGAGGAATAATTGATCAGATATCTTTAAATATGGACAATTGAACAATAAAAATCTATCCATGTAGATTAAATAACTGGTACTGTTCCAGACTCCCTGAAGGTTATGCAAATTGATAAGCACCTGAAGAAGGAATGAAGCCACAATGGTCAAAATGCTGGGATAAAAACAATCAATATGATTAAATAATATAAACTTCTCATTCCAGAAATTCTGACAGATATGTTTTATTTTTTGTTAATTTGGGAAAATAAATTTTCTGGGGTATTTTTTGACTTTTAAACAGATGGATCTACATTCAAAACTAGGATCAAATATATAGATTTTTCTATAGTTTTTCCCCCACTTCTCTGTATTACAAATACTGATTTTCAAGGCCCTCAACATTAGGAAGAATGAGCCAATAAAATTTCTCTGAGTTACCTTTGACTTTGTACCATTCTAAACTTAGTTAATTATTAAGATTAGTTCATAAATTGTTGAACTGTTATCTTTATTTTTGTTGCTTTTATCAGTCTAGAATGTATCTACACATTTTGAATGAGTTGGAACCTGGTTGGACAGCCTTGATATAACTTGTTTACATGTTAGAGGGGACCTTACTGCACATACATGAGCAGACAATTTCCAGATGGCGTTGCGATATCAGTGAGTGAGCTTATCACAAAGGCTCCAAATGCATTCATTTAGTACTAATTCTCTGTATCCTACTAATTATGTGTGTGCATGCATATATATATATATATATATATATATATATATATATATTTTGAACAATAAAAAAATATTAAAAAATTAAAATCTTCAGACACACTGTGTTGTAGATTTCATTTTTTTATTATTATTTCATTTAGATTCCTCGACTTGTTTCGGCCAAAATGGCCATCATCGGGAGAAGAAATTTTTCTGCTTGCTGGTAGCAGTAAACTACAGAAATGAATGTCTTGATGGAGAAAATGAACTTTTTGTCTGTAGTTTTCATTTGTTTTTTTTTTTTTATATATATATATATATATATATATTTCATATCAGTCATTTTATCATATATAAATATATATATATATATATATATATATATATATATATATTTAATTATTTATTTAAAAATATGATTCCAAATCGCTACATAAGAGGTCTCATGTTTCAAAACAAGAGCTGAAAACTTCAATATAATCCTTTAAATTAAATTGAGTTGAAAGTAAAATGGGCTCCTTCCATCTCCAAGCGAAATTTTTGTTGGAATCTATATATAAATATATGAATATATATATATATATATATATATATATATATATATATATATATATATATATGTGTGTGTGTATGTTTTAAATATGTTTTATTGATAATATTGACACGTTCTCTCTATCCAATTTTTTTAATATATATTTATGTATATATATTATATATATATAACTTAAGTTCAACAATTATTTTAATATATTTATTGTTTATACATTATTTTTATAGATACAAATATGTAAATAAATTCTCTGTTTATAATAAACGTATAATAACATTTACCAACCTGAATGTCCCAGAAATCTAAACGAAAATATATGTTCTCCAACAGGAATTGAACTTGTATCTTAGACAGAACTGTCATATAACCTGATGTTCTATACTATTTATCTAAAGAAGCAGCATCTGGTTAGCAGCATTCAAGCATGCTAACCAGACACTTCCTTTGTAGCTAAATGGTATAGCATATCAGACTATATGATGGTTCCGTGTAGGATACAGGTTTGATTACTGTCAAAGGACACATTTTCTATGAAATCTCTCAGACATTCAGGCCGGTAAAATTTGTTAATTCTGTTTATTATAAACAGACCATTTACTTAAATATTTGTATCTATAAAAATAACATATGAACAGAAAATATATTAATATATATATATATATATATATATATATATATATATATATATATATAGCAGACAATATAGGGAGACAATTTATATCATAATCTTTTATCAATTTTTCTTGCTGGGAGATTAATTTCTGTATTTTGGTGTTAAAGGCATAAAAGAAATGTCCATAACACTTGTTAGGTGTGAAAGCTTTTGACTGGCTTCAGTCATTATCAAGAATAAAAGAAATTAAAGAGACTTTGAATTTCATTTATTTTTTTTCCATTCTTGATACTGACTGAAGCCAGTGAAATATTCAGAAGTCTAACAAGGACTAACAGGAACTGAGTACAATTCCTGTAGACCTTTAACATACAGAAATTAATCCATCAACAAGACAAATTGCTTAAAAGATATTATAGTCATAAGATGTACATTAGCTATAGCAAAATGGATTTTTATATATATATATTAGTAGCAACTCTAGGTCATCAATGTTTGTCGGGCTCATTACAATCTTTAACAAAATATACTATTAGTATAACTTAGATGCTAAAATGATTACTTTACTCTAACTAAAATATATAAATTTTAAAAATTTCTGTGCATGAAATTATAAAAAACACATTTTCGTATTTTAATATTAATAGTAATAATTCTATAAAAATAAGCATTTATTTTTAAAAAATTTTCCATGCATGTAAGAAAAGAGTCAGGACAAAATTTTTGGTATGTTCCACTTTTCCATTTTTTATTGTTTTATAGCATAGTTATCAAGTCACTGATGGTAGAGTTTGTGTTTGTGTATATTTCTATGTGTTAGTATGTTTATGTATCTCTCTGTCTGTGAATTTTTAATTTAATTTATTCTACATTTATGATCAGTACTGCTGACTGATATATTTCCTCAGCACTACCCCAGTCAAACTCCTTGCCTCAACCCTCCAGTCAATGAGTTAAAGCTGCCACTTTCTTTGATTTTTGCTGAATTTAAGTCAAGCTAAATTTAATTTGTCCTTTCTCAAAAGATACATTCTGCTAAAAATTTTATACTGTATGGAATACATTATTTAAAATAAACATTTCAAAAAATGAGTTGAAATAAAAGTGTATTCTTTGAAAAACAGATATACAAATTATTAGAGAATTTTTAAAGATTATTTATAAAATTAAAGCAAGAAATACATTGCCTATTAAGCATGTCTCCAACTTCAATAGGGCACAGATCTGCACAGCCCGACTAGCCATGTTAATTTTATTTCATTTTTTTTTTACTTACTTTCTTTCTTTGTTTTTTTTTCTTCTTTATGATGAACAATGGCAATGAAATGTATTTCAGTCAATATTTTGAGATAAAGAGTTAAAACAATTTTTGATCCAGCTGAAGTCAAGAATGAAAACAACACACTTCAAAAGATTTTTGTTGCTTTGATATAGATATACTTGAATGTTGACTCATTAGGGCTAAGCCTGATAAGCCCAACCTCCAGAGTTGCCATTGATACATATATATATATATATATATATATATATATATATATATATATATATATAATGAGAGAGAGAGAGAGAGAGAGAGAGTATTGGGCTGAGCAGTTAGAACGTTTCACATTCTAAACCATGAGACCCAGGTTCGAATCTCACCATGATCGATTTGTCAGGAAGGAGACTTCCTGATGTTATCAGACTGGAGGGGTCATTCCCAGTGTGCCATAACTTTGGAAACTGCCGGAAAACCATACCACAGGTTGACCCAAAACATGCGAGTGAAATTGGGTAGACATTGATAGCTCTTCTAGCACAAAGTCACAGATCATCATGGGCGAGGTCTTGAGCAAATTGTTGATCATGCTAAATCACATGCTCTGAAGATTATGTTGTGCCTGAAACTCTGTCATGCTACCAATGAGAGATAATATGTATATTTATTAATATATACTTAATAGTGCTATTAAATTGTTGTCTGAGAATTGGTATTAGAATTTAATAGTAAAAATTTTGACACTACTTGTGACAATTAGCCATTCACATATAAAAATTTCAGACAACCTGGTGTGTATATATATATATATATATATATATATATATATATATAAATATATATATATATATATATATGTATATATATATATATATGTTTATATATGTATATATATATATATATATTATTAAATATAACAGACAATGAATGTCAGGTATGTCTGATCATGTGAGCTGAAAGCTTAGGACCAAATTAATAAAAAAATATTCAAATGTTGGACAATTTCTGTCTTTATTTTCACCAGAGATTAAAGCAAACATTCAGACATTAGAATGGCTCATGATCAGACATAATAGACATTCATTGTCTATTATATTTAATAATATATGTTTAAATAATGCTCTGCTGCCCCAATACACTAGCATTCCAAAAACTGCATCAAGATCAACAATTATTTCCACTCATAATTCCTAGAATAATTCAAAACATAATCATTATCATCCACCAAAATAACATTTTGATCAATACAATAGACTACCACAATGTATTACTTTATTTATATATATATATATATATATATATATATATGTGTGTGTGTGTGTGTGTGTGTATATATATAGTCCAGCAAAAATACAATGCATATGGCATTCAAACATGTAACAGACTGTTTCTTCTAGGTGTTGACTTCAATGTCTATTTTATATTCATATATGCTCTATCCCTGACATTGAACACTTTAACCCATAAATATAGCAATCCTTAAAAATATATTTTATCATATATATATATATATGATAAAATTTGTTTTGATGCTTTTGGCT